CTTCCACTCATTGAGTGTGAGTGAGCTTTTAGAATACGGGCGTAAGACAATAGTCCTAAAGTTGCATTGCTGTAGTCGCATACAATTTGTCCCACTAGCCTATCGCCTCGCATACAGCTTGGCTTTTTACGTATAGAGCTTGGTAGACTGCGAGTAGCCTGCGAACAGGCCCTGGGTTACAGGCGGCGCGAAGAATAGAGGGCCTGCACGGAACTATAGGTTTTCTTGGTAGTGGCGTTCGTATAGAAACGCAGGCTTCTGATTGGCTTACACTCGTTGACAAAATTACTAAAAATAGCTAATGTCAACAACAGCATTTTGAAGAATTTGAACTTTATTCATTTTAATATTATATATTATAAGACTATCGAACAAATAAAACTAGAAATGGAAACCAAAAGCAATAGCAAAGCATCACAGCAAAAAGTCTATCATAAATGACTTGAATCTATCGCTTAAATCCAATATACGAAACTATAACAGCATTCTGAACTTCGTCTTCGGATTGACATCAGACTATAGTATAGTACATTTTGAGGTCGTCGTGGCTTCACGGATTATTCTCATTAGTGAGCAAGTCAGCAAGCGAAGGCATACAAAAGATACCCAAATATGTACGAATAATTATATTGTTGATCCTCGCTGGCATGTCATTTAGATAAATATATATCGTACATTAAACGTTGTACTATTTACTGTATAAACTGCTGACAATTTCGTCGTCGATACGGCTTCCACTATTGGCACACTCGTGGGGTTAGTAAAATTTTAGACGTATTCGGTATTCCAAATCCCAATCTATCTGACCGTATTTTAGTAATAGCTTCAAATATTCAGAACATTGTTCTTTCAGTCGCACATAGTACAAGTATTGCTGTACATTGATTCAATGCCAATGGTAGTATTTTATTCGGCTTTATATTTGTATGTGTATTGATATCTATTTAATATTTGAAAAATTCTATATTTTTCCGAGTAATATTTTGTGCGGCCCGCTAATGCTTTGTATTATTGTTCATATATACATAATGTATATATTTTAATATTCAGTATTTCTTCGTTGCACAATGTACACGCCTTGCGTCAATTTGACAGTTGACAGTTTATTTATCGCAGTCGACGCTGATTGGTTCGCGTTTAGCAGATGCGAAAAGGGGATGATTGAATAAAACGCATGGTTCCGTGCAGGCTCACCTTTCTCCCAGTGAGCCTGTTCGCAGGCTAGACTGCGAGCGGTCCCTCCTTTCCACATATTTTGTTTCCCGGGCGTACGAGGGGAATGGAGAAACTGCCGACAACACATCAAGAAACGAAATACGCCCACTTTTCGCTCTTGTCAAGTTGGCTCCGCATTTGCATAAACATTACTTATATCCAATTAAATCTATCCAATAGGAACTAACGATGTCATGTTTATTTATAGAATCAACATTCAGTCTGGAAATTATTTATAGCATAATTACTAAATATCAGATTTGATTGACAGGCGTATCGATTTCGACTAAGGGACCGGTCATTATTTATGGTGGGGGGTGGCACCGAAGAGAAATGTTTTTCGTGGGAAAAATTTTGCTGACCCAACCACCAAAAAGTCAAAAATTTGATTACCCAACCTCAAATATCAATTAAAAAATAAATACCCACCCCTGGCCAAAAACTTTACAAAAGGATACCATTCAGTTGTCACCATGTCCTTTACCACTTCTGTGACATGAGTTTGACAACGGATTGTGAAATGTTCTGCCGTCTAAAGTTTCATATTGTCTGCACATGTAGTTTCTAAATTGGAGATACCATGCATTTGTCTCCCAACAAATCGGAAAATGACAGATAGTGACTCTGATTGATTCACATATTGTATTTACATATGCTTTTTAGTCTCCAATATTTCAGTGAGTCATGCTTTGGAAATGACAATAATTTTTTATTACCCAACCCTTGAGTTGTTTTGTTTTTCATTTACCCAACCTTTTACTTACGAAAATTTTGTTTACCCAACCTTTTTCTCTTCGGTGCCACCCCCCGCCATAAATAATGACCGGTCCCTAATGGCGATTTTACCTTGTGTGGGCAACACGTACTTCGTTTCTTGATGTGTTGCAATCTCGTACCCATAGCAACGCCTGTGCGCGGGCTAGGAAGGCATTGGCTCTGGGGAAATTGACAACCGGAACCCCTAATCCGGTTCTTTGTCGGCATGGACGATTGATAAACGTTAAACCAATCACAGCACAGGAAAAATTCAATTTCCCCAGAGCCAATGCCTTCCTAGCCCGCGCACAGGCATTGCTCTGGGACGAGATTGGATGTGTTGTCTGCAGTCCCTCGATCTATTCTCCCGAATGACTGCTCGCGGTCTAAGAGCTTGGTCGGCCCACGCGTCCTATCCCATTAAGCTGTATTGTGCCCTACTTTATTATTTACTCTGTCTAACGCCAAGCTATTTTACTAGTCAAGGGGAAGCGCTGGCACTCAGTGGGTTAATCAGACTGTGTGTCTAGTTAATCCATTAAGTTGCATTGCGCCCTAATGTGCACCACTTTATTAGTTTATTATTGTACTCTTTCTAACGCTAGACGATTTGCCCAGATCCACGTTATCCTGTTAGGGGGAGGGTAAAGCGTGTTTTCAACTTCAATGATTCAATCGTAACGTACCGGTCCGTAGTATTTTCTTTTGTCAGGGTGCGATCATTCAAGATTTCTAGTAGAACAAATTCAGTACTCAATGCTCATTGTGTACTTAGTCTTTAAAAATAAGGTTCATAAAGTACAGGTTTCTGAAAAGTATATTCAGACTACGAGATAGCAAACGGAGTTTTGCTATTTGAAAAGGGAGTTTTGCTATTTGAAAAGGGTGTTTTGCTATTTGAAAAGGGAGTTTTGCTATTTGAAAAGGGAGTTTTGCTATTTGAAATGGAGTTTTGCTATTTGAAAAGGGAGCTTCGCTATTTGAAAAGGGTGTTTTGCTATTTGAAAAGGGCGTTTTGCTATTTGAAAAGGGAGTTTTGCTATTTGAAACGGGAGTTTTGCTATTTGAAAAGGGTGTGTTGCTATTTAAAAACGGAGTTTTGCTATTTCAAACAACCGACTCCAACGTTTCTTAGTGCCATCAGTGCAATCATGTTTCATGCCAAGACATCTCAGACCAATGATATACCAACTAAATTACGGTATTGAATACCTTGGACTTGGAAAGGTCATGTGGTACCAGCAAAAAATAAGTACGCAGATAGCAAGAGTTCCGCGTACCTACGTGGTACGTGGCTGAAAACAAAGAAGTACCAGACAGTAATATTGGTGTACCTCCGGTACGTAAGTACGCGAATTATCGCACCCTGCTTTTGTGTCGAAGTCATTAGTTCCACTGCACTACCGCTCAGGAAACAAAAAAATACGCTACGTTTCGGTACGATACAACTGAAGTGGAAAACTGGCTTGAGAGTGCACAGTTGATCCGTTAAAGTGCCTATATCACTTGTGGAACCTTTATGGATTTGAAAAGAGCGTAAAAAGTTAGTTAATAAGTTCAAAAGATTTTTTTGATTTAGTGCAATAATTTCGAAGATACAGGCCTCTAAACTACCTACAGTCCTGCCTACAGTTCCTGAGTCCCATGGGTCTAAACATGGCTATTGAATTTGGCCTTTTTCGAAACTGTCCATTGTCAATAGGAGCCTGGGACTCAGGAACTGTAGGTAGTTTAGAGGCCTGTATCTTCGAAATTAGTGCACAAAATCAAAAAAATCTTTTGAACTTATTAACTAACTTTTTACGCTTTTTTCCAATCGATAAAGGTCCCGCAAGTGATATATAGGCACTTTAAGAGCCAGCTTCATAGTCGAGTCGAGCCAGCTAAATGTGCTAAGAGCTAACTTTGAACCAAGCTGTGTTGCCTTGATGAGTTGCAAAGCAGCTTTTGTGGTTGAGGAGGAAGCCAAAGCCCCGGACTGAACTTAGTCGGGCATGGACGAATTAAGAGCCGACGTAAAAGCCATCAAGTGAAGAGCTCGCAATTCTAAAGTCAATTGAAATCCGCAGTAGGTTGACTTATACTTTGGCTATAATCTTCGACTATTTTCTTGGTCATTATAAGTATAGTATGCTAGATATGCTACTCCCATGCCGGGCTTTCAGGGAGGTAATACGCATGCACCTCCCCTGAGATCGTTCTGCACTTTCCTTGAGATCGTTCTGCACCTCCCCTGAAAATAAACGCACCTCCCCTTGAGGTAAAATGATTGATCAAAGTCAAAAGTAGAGATTTTGTATTCTTGTAGATGAAAAGCAAAAATTACGACAAAATTGAACAGGTAGGTACAACAAATGCGTTTTAAAATTCATGAATTAGAATAAGATCATAGACATAGAGTTGTTCCAGTAAACACGAAGCTCTAGGAAGATGTTCTGTGACTGGTTGATTATGACAATGACAAAAGACGTAATTGGCTTACATAAACAAATTAAAGGAATATTGTTCTTGCTTCGTTCTTTAGAAAATCCGTTCTATAGCTTATTATTTTGTCATTGTCATAATCAACCAATCACAGAACATCTTCCTAGAGCTTCGTGCCGACCCAGTTGTTGTTAAGAATAATAAGTTCCCGCCAAATTATATAACGCTAAATATGATTGGTTAAAGATTAATGAGATTCTCTTCTCTGATGTGTACATTCGGTCGGACATGTTTTAGAAAATCAATTCATATTATTAAGTCTATTAAAGTTATGTTTATCTTCAAATAAATAGTTATACAATCGAAAGTGAGCGAATATTTCAATAGGTTATGTGCCCAGGACGTGTGGAATTGAATTAAAACGTGTTTATTTGTCCTGTTTGGCGGAAATTTTGGTGAAAATACTTCGAGTCTAATATGGCGGAAATTACGAAGATCGATAAGCTAAATGGCAAGAATTATCAGTCTTGGAAATACAATGTCAAGCTAGTTCTTATGGAACGTGGCCTTTGGGGCTTTACACAAGAAGGCAAAGAAATACCTCCTGACGAAGATGCGACAAATGCTGTAAAGAATGCTTTCCAGTTGCGATCAGATAAAGCCTACTCTCTGATTGCCTTAAACGTCGAGAAACACTTGCAAATACACATTTCGAGTACGACAGATCCTTTAGCAGCATGGACGAACTTGAAAAAACAATTTGAGTTTGTATCTGTTACCCAAGTCGTGCGTTTGAATCGTAAATTCTACGCAGCCACCATGGAAGAAGGTGGAGATCTTATGAAACACCTGACCTATATGACATCATTGGCAGAACAACTGCGTGAAATGGAAGAAGATATATCATCAAAGAAATTCGCTACTGTGGTGCTAGGGAGTTTACCCGAATCGTATGATAATCTCCTCACAAGTTTGAATGCGAGAAAAGCTGAAGAGTTGGAATGGGACAATATAAAGGGATTGTTAATAGAAGAGTATTTGAAGAGAAAGGAAAAATTTGAGAATAACAAGAGTGACAATGCATTGCTTACAAACAGGAAGTCATACATGAGCAGAGGAAGAAATTATGATCGAAGAAGACATGGTGAACATTCTAGAAATTGGACTCCTGTAGACTACAAGCCATCATGGAACACCAATAAAGGTGGGGATACATTGACACCAGCAGCACAACAACAACGTGATGATGGAAGAGCAAGAAATATTTTATGCTTTAAGTGTAACAAAGCTGGACACATCGCCAGGAACTGTCCACTCAACTATAGAAAAGGTGGAAACAAAGGGGAACATTCGAAGCTTGCGGAAGGTGGTGGAGTAGCACTGATTTCAAGCACAGGAAATTCAAATGATTGGTATGTGGATTCAGCTGCGACAAAGCATATGACAAATCGCAAGGACCTTATCATCAACTACACTCAATACCAAACACCGGTGAATATTTATTTGGGTGACAATACCTGTATCAAAGCCCTGGGTGAAGGAATGGTTAAGCTATATACTCAAAATGACAATACATTCTATTTGGAGTTACACAAAGTATTGTATGTGCCGATGTTAGCAAAAAACCTATTGTCTGTACCTGCAATGGCTTCAATGGGAGCTAAAGTGTCATTCGATGACGAAAAATGTGTTGTTTACAAAGAAGATAAAGAATACGTGATTGGTAAATTGGTAGATGGTATGCTGTATACTGTTAATCCAGTTGAATTTGCCCATCCTACAACTGAACCCTTGGATATGTGGCACCAGAGATTTGGTCATCTAAACAATGGATATGTTAATCAACTGATGAAGAATGATATGGTCACCGGAATGATGTATGATGAAAGTAAACAAGTGGAGAAAGATTGCAAAGGATGTTCAATGGGAAAGATGCATAAGAATCCCTTTCCAAAAGCAAGTCTACATAGGGCAAGCAGACCTTATGAAATCATACACACTGACATATGTGGACCAATGCAAGTTGAGTCGATTGGCGGTAGCCGTTATTTGATCACATTTACTGATGACTATTCCAGATATGCTGTTGCTTACTTTATTAAGAAGAAAGATGAAGCACTTACTAAGTTCAAGGAGTTTGTGAATTATGTTGAAAATCAAGATGGAAATCATAATAAAGTGAAGATTCTGCGCAGCGACAACGGCGGTGAGTACAAATCGAACAGTTTCTCCAAATTCTGTACAGAGAAGGGCATTGTCCAACAATTCACTTGTCCTTACACCCCTGAACAAAACGGTGTGGCAGAAAGATTAAACCGTACGATTTTAGAATCTGCAAGATCCATGATATATCATGCAAATTTGCCCCTAGTCTTCTGGGCTGAAGCGTGCAATACAGCCGTGTACCTACATAACCGAAGTCCTACAGTTGCATTAAAGGACAAAACCCCTCATGAATGCATTTTCGGTGAAAAGCCAGATGTTTCTAATCTTAAAGTCTTTGGATGTATGTGCTATGTTCATATCCCGGACAGTAATCGTAGAAAATTAGACCAAAAGTCTTATGAAGCTATATTTGTTGGCTATCCTACTGGCACAAAAGGATACAAAGTTTATGATGTTAAAAGAAGAAAGTTCATGATAAGTCGAGATGTTCAATTCTTAGAGAAGAAATTTCATAATTTTGAGAACCCAAAGAATGACTTTGTGTTCGAGCAGCAAGAGAGAATTGAAGTTCCGGATGATGAAAAACAAACTGTTGAGTTATTTGATCTAGATAGAGTTGATGAACTTGATGATCAAACCTTCAACGAAGATCAGGATGAGTTCAGAGTGGATCCTGTTGTTGAAACAAACATTAACTTGAATGAAACCATGGAGCAGCCCGTTAATCCCGAGAACGACGAACCAGTGGGAGAAAGTGAAACCCCATCTACTTCGAAAACATACGAAGAGCGGTTTATGGAAAACGTGAAAAATTTAGGTCCTGTAAGACAGCGTATGATTCCGAGTAAGTTCAGAGACAATGCATGTCCAGTAGTTGAGTCTTTAACATCTGAAGTTGATGATCCAGAAAGTGTCCAAAGAGCGCTGAATGGGAAGTATGCGAAGGAATGGAAAGACGCGATGATCTCAGAATATTCTTCATTACTAGAAAACGATACATGGGAATTGGTTCCTCCCTGTGATGATCAAAACGTAGTCGGATCGCGGTGGGTGCTAAAGGTAAAGCGGAAAGAAGACGGATCAATTGATCGTTTCAAAGCGAGAGTTGTAGCTCAAGGATACTCCCAAACAAAAGGAGCTGATTATGACGAAGTATTTTCCCCCGTGGCCAGACATACATCTTTACGTACATTACTGGCATTAGCCAACGAATATGATCTCGAAGTCCACCAAATGGATGTTCGAACTGCTTTTTTAAATGGCGACATTGATTGCGACATTTATATGCAACAACCGGAAGGTTTTGTTAATCCAGACAAACCAGATTATCTTTGTAAGCTGCAGAAAAGTATCTACGGTCTCAAACAGTCTGCACGCTGTTGGAATGACACGCTCGATGGATACTTAAAGTCGAGAGGATACAGAAAAAGTGGTGCAGATGGTTGCATTTATGTTAAATCGGTTAAAAAGGACGGTGGTCGAATAAGTTTTGTGATACTCGGAGTTTACGTGGACGATATAATTCCAGTTTCCAACGATATCCAAATGCTGAATTCAGAGAAGAAAGCGCTCAGCGAAAGATTTAAGATGGATGACAGAGGTGAAGTTCATTACCTATTGGGAATGCTGATTAAACGAGATCGAGAAGCCAGAGTTACTACAATCAGTCAGCGTAATTACGTGGAACGAGTCCTAAGCAAATTCGGAATGGAATCATGTAAACCGGTTTCAACACCACTGGAACCTGGGACAAAGTTTTCAGAGTTGTCAAATGAGGATGAAAAATTTGACACACAAACATACCAGCAAGCGATTGGATGCCTAACCTATCTTTCAGTGATTTCAAGACCAGATATCTCAGCTGCAGTGGGAGCACTTTCACAATTTATGGCAAAACCTAGCAAAGATCATTGGATCGGGGTGAAACGTGTATTACGATATCTTAAAGGAACTTTAGATTATGGCCTGAAATACTCAGCAGATAAAAACCCTACACTAGTCGGTTATTCAGACTCTGACTGGGCAGGAGATATTAATACTCGTCGATCAACATCAGGTTATGTATTTCAAGTTGCTAATAGCACAGTTAGTTGGTCGAGCAAAAGGCAGAGGACAGTCGCGAAGAGTTCAACAGAAGCAGAATATATTGCGTTAAGTTTAGCCACGCAAGAAGCGATATGGTTACAAAGACTGTTATATGATGTTGGATTTAAAATCAGAAAACTGATAACAATCTTCGAAGACAACCAAGGAACAATAGAATTGGCGAAGAATGCCAAATATCATAATAGAACGAAACATATTGACATTTGCCATCATTTCGTTCGAGAACGCGTTCAGTCGAAGGAGATCAATGTAGTATATTGTCGAACAGATGATATGAAAGCAGACATACTAACAAAAGGATTAGCAAGATCAAGTTATGAAAAGTTAAGGGACTTGATTGGGATTACATCTGTTTAAACATTGTAATTTAATTGTTGAAGTTAAATTTATAAGTGAATGCACATTTTATCGTGAACTCATTAAGTGGGAGTGTTAAGAATAATAAGTTCCCGCCAAATTCTATAACGCTAAATATGATTGGTTAAAGATTAATGAGATTCTCTTCTCTGATGTGTACATTCGGTCGGACATGTTTTAGAAAATCAATTCATATTATTAAGTCTATTAAAGTTATGTTTATCTTCAAATAAATAGTTATACAATCGAAAGTGAGCGAATATTTCAATAGTTGTTTCCCATCGGTTCATTTTCTTAATCGATTAATGGTTATCAACAATCGATTAATATCTATGAATTATATTGTATTTTTGTCGTGCGAATACTACCTCTTTTCGAATGGTCTGTCTTGAATTGATAAGCAATGAGAGCGCAATCACTAGCAGATAAATCCAAACAGATTTCGTTTGCAATTTGGTGTTTCCACAAACGAAAACTTATATACTATCGCCATGCAAAACTACAAAGAACTTAAACACTTCTTTATTTACGAATATTAATAGTTTTAGACAAATATGATAGCAATATATTACAATAATAAATTTATTAAAGAATGACGTTTCGAACTCATCTTGACCTCATTTTCAAGTTCAAATTATTACAGAAAACGATTACTGTCGATGCAAAGGAAGTGTTGATAAAATATTGCACCAATTCCTTTCCTCAAGTTGATCAAAAAATTGATCAACTTCCTGGTACTTTTAGATAAGCGAATTAGATTTCGTTTCAGAACCGATTGACCAATAGGAAACGCACAGGAAGTAAAAAGAAATTTGAATTCTTATGAATTGATCAACTTGAGGAAATGAATTCATGCAATATTTTATCAACACTTCCATTGCATCGACAGTAAATTAAAATGAGGTCAAGATGACTTTGAAACGTCGTTCTTTAAAGTGCCTATGACACGAAATTTCGCCCCAAATGTTTATGACTGCGTTGTAAAGATCATTTAAAATGACTTAATAATTTCTTTTATAGAATTTTGGTAACTTGCTCCCTTTGGCTTTGTAAGATATTCAACTTTGTTTCATATGCAAATATCACCGGTGTTACATCACATTGCATAATGACATTTTGAAAACGCAATATTTTACCTTGATAAAATATTTTTACAAACAAATACAGAGGGTTAATTACCAGTTATGAAGTTAATACATATATACAAGGGCAATTTTTAAGTTTAGTAGATACGTATTCGTCAAGAAAACTATACTGTTCTGAAAACTCATTATGCGATGTGATGTCACACCGGTGATATTTGCATATGAAACAAAGTTGAATATCTTGAAAAGGGAGCAAGTTACCAAAATTCTACAAAATAAATTATTAAGTCATTTTAAGTGATCTTTATAATGCAACCATAAACCTTTGGGGTGAAATTTCGTGTCATAGGCACTTTAATAAATTTGTTATCGCTATCATTTTTGTCTAAGTCTATATATCAAAAAGTTTATTTAATAGTTTTATCTACAAATTGACGTGTACTGCATGCATGATTATCAATGAGGCGACCTACTGAATTCTTTCAAGATCATTGCAAAAGATGCATCAAACTTTTTTATTTATTGCTAGAAATTTGGCGTAAAAAGAAGCCTAAAGGTTCAAGAACAATATTACCTGATTCAAGCATGATATTAAATAAGTTATTAAAGTTCTACAAAAGAAAAGCCCGCGAAAATTCTCGACTGAGCCTTACTCGCGTGGTAAAATACAGGGTGATAAGTTTCATTTTTCACCCATGAAGCACACATGCAAACTCTAGCTTGCTGCTTATACCGACTCTCAATCTCGTCTAACTCGCGGAAACTTTAACCATTCCAAACATTAACAGGTTTATATTAAGTAGAATTTCTCTTTGCGCACTTGTCTAGTTGTTTCAAAGATGTCTGATGAAAGTTTTGAATGTTGATTTATGGAAGTCCTATCTACATTACGTGAAAGAAACGAAGGGTTCTTTGCCTTCATTTAGGTACAAGTTTATAGTAGATTCATTGTGTGTAAATTTAAAGGGTTAGTGTCACACCATAGTATCGCGGGCTTTTGTTATTATCTTACTTGAAATGAACAAATAACGATAAGAATTCCTTGTTTGGAACATTTCCAATAAGAATTAGATACAAAAAGCAAGCCGATTCTCAAAGGATAGTTTAAATTTACGACGGATTATAAAATCTGTTGATCTGCTCGGCCAAAGATCTACTCTGTTGATCAGATCTGTTGATCTACTCGGCCGATAAAAAAATGGCCTTCGGCAGGAATTTGAGCCCGCAATACCATGGTGTCGCAATAATCCTTTAAAGGCCTACTGTCTCTGGGATGATAAATCGCCTTAACTCTTGCCGAAGATAAACTGAGTTTAGGTGATTTTAAGCGATTTAATTAAACAAAATGTGCAACTACAGTATAAGTTTATAGTGCGATTTTAACGTTTTGATTCATGCTTCTTAAGTGCCTACCAAATTGACCACCAAGGCATCTGCTATCAACAGTGACCGCGGAGTGTGCCCCGGTGAAGTGGAGGGTGGGCGCACGCAAGTGAACAGAGCCTACCATGGTAGGTAGAGCCAAACCCATCAATGTCAAACAGATCGTGACTGTGCTCTGGCAAAATATGGCTCTGCCGCGCAAACAATGTTTTGAATTCGTATACTTAGTTGTGTCTATATAGGTCTGTTGTTTTTACCATAGGGACAAAATGACACAAGCCTTTGAATTTGCCCTCGATAAAGTTGGATTGGATTTTAAGTCATATCAGGTATTCTGTTTCAGCAATTTTTTAGCATGTTGTTACTCCCTAAAATCAACACTGTTTGTGGTAACTTAATGTTCCTGGTTAATTTAACCATAGTCCTATTTAATTTTATTACTATGGTGGATACTTTAACCAGGATATATGGTTGAATTAACCAGATTATGTTAGGTGGATTATTAACCTGGAATTCTTGGTTGGTAGTCCATCTAACATAATCTGGTTGATTCAACCATATAGCCTGGTGAAATTAACCAGGAATTGGCATGGTTAAATTGGCCAGAATTATCAATTAACCAGGGACATTAAATTCACCCAAATTTTTTAGATTAACCAGGAAATGTTTAACCAGAGTGTGTTTAACATATTATTTTTCGTACATACTAAGACGTGCCACCGCCAAAGGGCGAAAAAGAACGGAAACTATAATAACAGTTACATTATCATTCTCGTACCCAGAGCCCTTCTTACGCGCGGTCAACGGAGCACGACGAGGGGCTCTGGCCAAATCCATATCAAACTGGCTTCTGATTGGCCACAACGAAATATATCGTTTATTGTATAAAATATGAATAAAAATCAAGCGCTCCATGAAGCGTTGGTTTCGTTTTGGATAAAATTGGGAGAAAAGACATTATTAAAGTTGAAAGAACAGCAGTACGAAGCAGTTAGGAAGATTGTTGTTGATAATCGCCCACAAAAGCGGTAGATGTCGCTAATTTTATTTATTTAAATCAATTAGTTGATTGAAATTAATAGGTTGAGACGTGATGTTCTCATAGCAAAAAGTCAGCATATTTTATGGCAGATGCTCGTCGTATTTCCAAATCAGTGATGTTAATCAAACAAATCTGTGTTACATGTTCAAAGCTGACGTGCCATCTGAAGAGAAAATATTAAAGCCAGCCAGAATATGAAGTTAATTGTGATGACTATTTTCTTCCTAGAAACCGATTTTTTACAATTTTCAAATGATTTGCAGTATAGTATGTCTTATGTATGACTGTTGACTTTTAATAAAACACAAAAAAGTCTAAAAATCTGTACAACAGCGACTTAAAATCGAATATAAAATAGTGAGACAATCTCTCGTGAGTCTCGTCTTCGTATCCGTAGCCATTACTGCTTTGGCAACGTTTAAGAGGGAAATATATACTAAATTTTTATCAACATGCATTGAGAACATCACGTCTTACCTACTAATTGATTTAAATAAATAAAATTAGCGAAACCTACCGCTTTTGTGGGGTTTTCCTGGAGAAAAACTTTCAAAACGAAACAAACAAGAAAACCGAAGTGTTTATCCGCGTTTGACGTTGAGCATGCGCAGTGTTTAACCGGATACCATGTTTTTATGGTATCCGGTTATGGATTTGGCCAGAGCCCCTCGTCGTGCTCGGTCGAACGCGCGTAAGAAGGGCCCTGGGTACGAGAATGTTACATTATCAAATGGGAATTCAGTTTCTCCCTTATATTGCTATCCTTCCATTTCGAAGGAGAGAGATGGAGGAGTCATGTCTGTATGTCTTCCTAAATGTTGCAGCTCTTTGTAAACAAATTTTGGTTCGGGAATTATTCGAAATAGCTTATTGAGTATTGAAAAAGATTACTGTATCACGAATATTGGGTCAAAATGTATACCCATCAGAGCAATGTAGACTATTCTATAATGATTTTGCGCTTGTAGAAAAGTTGTTTGTTTTCTAATTTCTGTCGTATTTTTTCAAACAGATATGGTCGGACTATATCACATTTTTGAAGGCAGGGTAAGTTTCCTATTGTTCTGTTAGAGCATTAGCACGAATCGTTGCTCGAGTTATTTCTAGGTCACTTTAGAAACTAATCACTGGACACGTGTGTCTTTCTTGTACAAGAGTGGGGGGGGGGGTTACAATTTAGTCTACTAGAAGGTAGACAGTTTACACTGTCCCTGGAATTTCGTAGTCTGTATGTTTCAATCGATTGTTGCGCACTTGAATGTGTTTGAAAATCTCTAAATAGGAATTTGAAAATCATGAATCGTGCCGGCCAAAATCTTTGCCCCTCCTCCGGCGCCTCCGCCCGTTTCATGAACAGCTGTTCAAAGTTCTTAAAAAGCAATCATGTTAAAAATGAACGTTCGTTGAGAGTGTAAGTTTTGTTAGGTAAACTTTAATCAATTGTTCCCAAACCAAGCAGGTGAATGAGCAAGCATCCCAATTCGTCCAACTTACAAAATTTTGCGCATTTCATTGGGGAAATATAACAACAAAGAAAACAATTACAAGTAGAATTTTATTATCAATAGTTTAAAATTCTTTACAGTAAGGTTTAACCATGGATCATAAAAACATTATAGATAGGAAAGTTGGGGTCATGCATGACGTTTTCGTAGTGCTGATAGCGTCTCGACATTGTCGAAAATTATGACATTTGTAAATCCAAAATATTTCCACGTTTAGCAATAATACAGCTGAGCATTTTAGTAAAAAAACGCAAGAAGACAACCATATACTACTCTACGATGAATGCGAAAAATAGAGGAAAATGGGAAAAAAACGCAGTAAAACTTTACGAATTTCAAATAGGACATGCATGTCTGCTGGCGTCAACTGTTTCCTATCCATTTTTTTAACTCTATATGGTTTAACATGAACATGTGGACGTTCGCTTTGTAAAAGAATTGTCAAAGAAGAAAAAGGAGGTTGTGTTTGTTTGGAACAACACTCTCCTCCTAAAATTTCGCACAAATATTTAGCTACATAAAGTGTTAAGACAATCTTCTCATTTCTGCTATCTGCTGCTATACTAACAATACAAGAGAGCCTGGCCATGGCTATAAATTCCTTTTTGGATGAGCTGATAGTTTTTGACGCGGCCTATTTCGTGAGCCTCATAATATGCTTACTTAAGACCTAAAAATTCGGTCTTTCAATGTCTTTAGCAGTTTTATTGCTTCTGTGCGTAAAAGTTTATTCTTCCAGAAAAAAATCAAACTGTTGAATGTTGAATTCATGATGTATAAAGTATACCCCCAAACAAAAGATAACTTTACGTTGTTTGACATCGAGTTCTCGGTAAATTTAAATGCGAAGTAAAAGCTGTTTGAAATGGTTAACAACACAATGTAGGCAACTGTAAATAGACAAGTAGAAATGCTTTTCAAATTAACTTTTCTTGTTTCCTCGGGTAAGACTATGTTGCTCCGACGTATTTTTCTAGAAATCCTGAACAATTTGTAGTTTATGTACACGAGCGGTGGATAAACAATGGCTATGAAAACGATTAAAGCCACTTGAACAGAAATAACCAACTCATTTGTAGAAATTATTATCAATAAAGTTGGTAAAATTAATAATATCGCGAGGATTGTTAATAATCTGCGACTGGTTACTGATGTGCGATGAAAGATAGGGTAGTACGCTCCCAGATATCGTTCAATATTCATTATCAGAAGTGCGACCAAAGAAAAGCCAGCAAACGTAATACCAAAATGCAAATACATTTTCATCTTTGCCACGAGAACATGTTTTTCATTTATCCAGAAGACCAGGTGAAGCGCCAACAATGGATGGTTCGTTATCACAGAAGCTAAATCGAAACAAGACAACACCATTATCATAAAATTGCACAATTTCTTTCGAAGCTGTGAGGACTTCAAAAGGCTTACTATCACCAATGTGTTTAAAATTATTCCAGAAAAAGTAAAGAACACGTTCACAGCGCACAAAAGTATCAACTGAATGTACACTTTTAAATCCATCTTCGGGTATAATGATATTGTTTGGACTTGAATGTATTATATCGAAAGTGTATGACTATAACATGAGCCGTTAGAAAGCTCAAGGAGCATTGCAGTTCTGTTCGGAATTAAATACTTTTTGAGTGCATGAGTGTTTGACAGTTGTTAGGTAAACAATGTTTAATTAAACGTCGAAGTTTGTTCCATTTTTAGGTAGTTTCGCACTATCCTTGGGATTTTAGCCCCTGCATGCCTCAATCGACTGTTGCACACTTGAATGTATGAACACCTCTGTGGACAAACTAGGAAAACTTGTTGCGAAACTGAAATTTGAAATCCATGAATCGTGATGTTGAAAATATTTCCATATATTTTCCCCATCCCCAGTTTCATGAACAGCTGTTCGAAAGTGCATAAAGCAATCATGTTAAAGTGAACGTTTGTTGAGTCTGAGTGCATGAATTGTGTAAAGTAAACTTGATATAAACCAAGTGCAGGTGGATGAGTGTAAACATCCCAATTCGTGCAACTTACAAAATTTCGTGCATTTCATTTCATTGGAGAAATTTAACGACAAAGAAAACAATTACAAGAAGAATTTTAAAGAATTAAATTTAAATTTAAATTGAATTTTAAAGAATTTTTAAGAAGAAATTTTTTTTTATTATCATTAGTTTAAAAGTATTTACAGTAAGGTTTAATCATAAAAACACTATGAAAGGTTGTTCAATTGAGGCCAATGAGCTACTGTTTGAAACGGCTAGTATATAAAACGTATTTGAAATTACAACATTTAATAAGAATCTTAAAATTGTTGTAATTTCAAATACGTTTTTTATGTTGTAATTTCAAATACGTTTTATATACTAGCCGTTTCAAACAGTAGCTCATTGGCCTCAATTGAACAACCTTTCATCAAACACAATGCTACTGAAGGACAACCACCTACGTTTAATAAAAACACTAGATAGGAACCTCGTGAGTACACACGATGTTTTCAGCGTGCTGATGGCGTCTCAACATTGTTGAAAATGATGGACATCTCTAAATCCAAAATAATTCCACGCTTAATGATGCGAAGGAGATCCTGCACCTTAGCCATCCTATCACGACCTATATGCGTTGTATTCCCGGGACATAATGAATTTCAAGTAATGTCACGAGCAGGGATGGATGTAAATCGGGGGGGGGGGAGGGTGTGCACCCCCCTAGCCCTGGCCAGAGGGGGTGCAGGGGGGGTGGTGCTATTTTTCATGATAAAGCAAAAAATTATTAGAGACAAAATGAGATACAGTAATTTGAGTAATAACATGACGATAAGCGAACTGTGAACAACAATTACAATTCAAATACAGTAGTCAAGCAAGACTTTGCAGTAGTGAAGCAAGTTGATGGGCGGGCGGCACACATGACCGACACAACTCGACACCACAGCTAGCAGAGCACCCCTCACCCCTACCAGATCATGCTGGATCCATCCCTGGTCACGAGCCAGCGTAAGCAAGCGACGTTTTTGTCAACACCGACGTCACTCGAATTTCGGTGGCATTTTGCATCATAGCGCTCTTGCAAGGAAGCAAAAAACTTTAAAAATCTTATGTTTTGTCAGATGTGTTGAAGATTACCACAAACTGATACAAACACAGTTTTTAATCCAGTCGCCAATAATATTAATACTATCAGTCTAAAAAACGATCTCACTACTACTGAGACAAACGTAAACGAACCAACTTTATCAGTTGACATAATGAAGTCAACTGCTAGTGACACCAACCTGAAATTATCGAAATTTATTTTTTCGTGTTTTGAGGAAAGACTTAAACAACTTGAAGCCGGGAATGCTGGTAGTCATTAGTTAAACTTTCCATCCTGTAAATAGTATTTTCTTATAGTCTACTTCTTAAATATTTTTTATATGTTACATTGTTACGTTATAGTTAAGCTTTAGCAATACTTGTAAAATATGGTCATGCTGATAAAGCGATTATCAATATATACCATTAATAATTTATTTCTCCAAAATGGCTTTTCAGAAATAATTACAATCGTAAAATTACAATCGTTAATTATACGTATTTACATAAGTTTATTAGAAGACTTATATATACTAATATATTAAAATATACATTTGGTTATGGGTATAATAAACCAATTATTGCTAAAATTATTAGTATATAACAAAATTATTAATTAAATAAGTTTCCATTATTATTATCATATATATCTAGGATACCCACATCACCGAAGTGTTTTTCAGTGGGGTCCTGCAACTCAAATTACATTCAATATTTAGCCATGCACTATTTACAGCAACACATATATACAATATAATCATTTAAGAATATTTAATAAAACCTGATTTCCAATCGAAACACATGCAGCGCACTTCTTTATTTCAAAGACATTAATTCTATCTGAGTGCTCGCGAAACAAATACATAGGCTACACTTCGCCGAGATACGTTTCAAGTGGAAAACAGAGAAAGATTGAGAGAGAAAGATAAGTAAGTGAAGAAGTGATATAGTGGAGGACGAAAGAGAAAGAGAGGTTTACACCTCGTATACACACCGTCTTTTTAATAGTTTTTTTAAAGGTATATAATGAAGTAGCGTTTTTTAGTTCATGTTCTACATTGTTAAAGTTTATAGACCCTTTATACGTTGGTCGTTGTTTTCCCTTGTTCGTCTTTGCTCGCGGTAGATGTCATGGTTCTTTGCCAGTTCAAAATCAAAGTCAATTAAGCCATTCATACAATTGTAGATAAATGTGCATCTGTGGTTATGTCTTCTCGTTGTCAGCGTTGTCCATTTGAGTTCTTCTAAAGCTTCGGTTGAAGAATATCGCGGGTGTTGGTCTAGAATGATATTCGCTGCCTTGTTCTCAAGCACTAAGGACTTGTTCTTGTCACCCCGTATAAACTGAATAATTTTTGACGCGGCCTATTTCGTGAGTTTGATAATACGCTTTCTTAAGACCCAAAAATACGGTCTTTCAATGTCTTTAGCAGCTTCATTGCTTCTGTGCGTAAAACCTTATTCCTCCAGAAAAAAATCAAGCTGTTGAATGTTGAATTCGCGACGTACACAGTATACGCCCAAACCAAAGATATCTTTACGTTGTTTGACGTCGATTTTTCGGTAAAGCTAAATGCAAGGAAGAAACTGGTCGGAATGGTTAACAACACAAGACTGGCAACTCCGAATAAACATGTAAAAATACTTTTCAAATCAACTTTTCTCGTTACCTCTGGTAATATTACGCTTTTCCGACGTATTTTCCTTGAAATCTTAAACAATTTGTAGTTGATAAATATTAGCGGAGGATAAAGAATGACCGCGAAAATTATTAAAGCCACTGCATGGGAAATAACCAAGTCATTTGCAGATAGTATTATCAGTGAAGTTGGTAGCATGAACGATATCGCGAGGGGTGTTAACAATTTGCGTCTGGTTACTGATGTGCGATGAAAGACAGGATGACACACTCCCAGATATCGTTCAATATTCATCATCAGAAGTGTGAACATAGAAAAGCCAAGAAAGGTTATGCTAAAATGCACACAAATTTCCATCTTCGCTACGAGGTCATGCTTTTCTTTTATCCAGAAGACCAGTTGAAGCGCCAACAATGGATGGCTCGTTATCACCGAAACTAAATGGAAACAAGACAACACCATTATCATGAAATTGCACAATTTCTTTCGAAGCTGTGAGGACTTCAGGAGACAAGCTATCACCAATGTGTTTAAAATTATTCCAGAAAAAGTAAAGACTACATTCACAACGCACAAAATTATCAATTGGGTGTACATTTTTAGATCCATCTTCTGGTATAATGATTTTGTTTCGACTTGAATATAATTATTTCAAAGGTGGAGCGTTATACATCAGCTGTTCAATAGTTCATAATAGAGCACTGCAGTCGTATTCACAAGTGAATACTTGTTGAGTGCACATTTTCGAGAGTTGTTATGCAAACATTAAGTGACATGCATGACAATGAGGCAGCATGCAGTTTGTACAGTTTCGTACATTTGATTGTGAACGAAAAACGAGGCTAAGAAAAAATAGAACAAACGTTTCGATATCAGCAGTTTAAAATTCTTGTGTAGGTGGTGTGCAACACTGGAAAAAATTTTGAAAATCCATAGAAGGTCATAGAATGGAAATTATATGAACTTTTATTGGAAATAGAATGGATTTTGGTTATCCATAATAATTGTATATTTCCATAGTATGGATATAGTATGGAAGTAGTATGGATATACTATGGATTTTGTGGTGCAATTGCATATTTCGTAGTATATGAATTTCACTTTTCTTTTCCAGTGCAAGTTAGTCACCGTCGCCATGTTGGATGACATTAGAGAGCTTAAGCCTCGCGTTATACGTTATACGTCAAACGGCAAACGCCAGGCAAAGAAAAATTTTACGGTATCAGGCAATAAAGAGTAAATGAACTTGCTGTTTTAAAACTGCAATGCATAATTATTCTTTCGACACAAGAAAGAAAACATGAAACGAAAACGTTCAACGAAAATTTTGCAAGAAAGTTCGAACCTGCCGTTTGCCGTTCCCAGAAACGTGAAGCTTAAACTCCCTAATGACATATAGGATTTTGCTTGTTTGCAATGCAAATATCATCCAACATGGCGAAAATCTCTTTGTCCTTTGAATCATCACATCTTTACATCACCTATACTGGAAAATAAAATCCACCACAATATGCATGGCTGAACATAGAAACATGATATCATGGATAGATATTACATAGGACAACGTGGTTATATTAAAATTTTAAAAGAAGCGGATTAATAATGTTAGTAAGTGCATGAACAGCTGTATAGATCGACTTCAAGTTTTTGACAGTTGTAAAGTAAATATGTTTGTAGTTCCAAGTTGCAAGCAAGTTGCATATCATTTTATAAAGCTCTGTTTACATGAGTCACCATGACAATTATATATATTAATACTTACAGCTCACAGGCATACTGGGATATGCCAATCTGGTCTGCGCTATATTATCACTGCATCGATGAATTTCCAGTACAAAATGTAGAAATGTTTATTTTTACTATAGATATTTCTGGCTTTTATAATAATAATTATGTTTATCCAGGATACCCACATCACGTACGAGTTTTTCAATGGGGTCCTGTGTCAAAACTACAATCATTTACAATATTAATTGTCAATATATAAACTGTATAAAAATATACAAATATATACATCCACAGTACAACAACGATAAAACGAACTATTATTTTAAAATTTATGAATTATTAATTTAGTCAGTAAGTATGAAACATGCCTCGAATAATCGATTAGGAAAGAATCAATCGATTCAGTAGACGTTAGAAAGTCTTTGACTGCACGTTTGACTTGCTTTGGTAACAATTCATTTTTTGCAAGTCCAAGCCCCAAGTCGTTAATTTAATTAACAAGTCAAGTCACAAAAAGTGTGATTCTATTGCAACTATCCATGGTTTATGAAATAAACGAGTGGACGTTCGTATGGGTTATTTATTGTTAAATAAAATTTTATTACTTTTCAGCGAAGTCAGTGGGTCTTATGCTGAGAACCAGAAAATTATGACACTTCGTAAAGTGTATCAAGTATGTTTAAAAAATTTATAATTCATAATTATTTATTCTTATATTTCATAATTATTTATTCTTCATAATAATTTATTATCATGTTGTAATGTTTTTTATATAGTACTGTACAATATTACTGTATTGTGTATTGGATTGGATTGCATTGCAAGGCATTTTTTAATACCATGGACTGGTGGGGCATTTGCCCCACTGGGCCCCTTCCTCTGCCCCACTGCTGAAGAAAAAATATGGCCTATTGCCCCAAAGCCAGGGCCCCAGGACCTATATTGAGTAAATGAGTTTAACATTGAAAAGAAGTTTAAAAAACAAAATTTGTTGGTGAGCATACTTAAACTTATGTTATGTTTGAATGTTTAGCATGCAATTTATTACAAATTTCACCATTAAATTTCACGATTTTTTTGTGTTCTCAGAATGTAGGAAATGCTATTTCAGAGACCCAAATTTTAAAAATTTCCTGCAGGGGGGGTGAGACATGCCCCCAGCTTCAACCCCACCCTCCCTAGGTAACTCGTGCCTGCGGTACTCTGCTCACACCTTCGGCGATCGCATACTATGCTGGGGGAGGACAAGGAAAATGGGCCCTTTGGCAGTTTTGCCCCACCACTGAAGAATCTTTAAAAAATGCACTGTTGCATTGCATTGTATTTCATTGTATTATTTTGTATTTTGTATTGTCCAGGGCCGTACGCACGGGGAGAGGGGGCAGTAATACCTATATGCTGAAATATATACCCAAATGTCAATACATTCAAAGCCATATCAGTTAGCTGTATGCTTATGGCTGTCCCATACAGATTCCTACATTCTGATTCGCAAGATTATAAGTGTCATTTCACTGGAAAAAATAGTGAAATGGACTCTATAGAATTTTCAATTGCAGCACTAAATCCATAGTAAATCCATAGTATTATTTTCATACTGTATCCATAAGCAATTAGTTTGAAAATTGAATTTCCGATACTATTTCCAACGACGATCCACACTATTTCCATAGTAAGGATTTTGAAAACATTTCCAGTGTTTGGCTTAATAATTTATAATAACATTATTTAGTGAGTTAAATTTTCTTGGGAGGGGGTTGCCCCTACGGCCTCCCTCCTTCCACACACAGCGTACGGCCATAGATAATAGATTATACCAGATGTCTCGCTCAGCCAAAATTGTGTCCGCGATTTTTTATGAGCACGCGTTGGCCGCCATTTTGGCAGTAAGTGTAATCCACGCCATGAAATGTGAGCAATCAGGCATTTTGGCAGTAAGCGCCAGCCTCGTACCCGGCGCTTTGATTGGCTTTGATGTTGCGTGACGCGCGCGCGGGAGGACACGCGTGGGGGGGAAAGGAAAATTCGGAGCGGACGCTTCCGCGTCCCGTAGTGAGCAACGCACCTCGATTCCCGCGCGTGCGTCACGCAACCAGTAAGCACATCAAAGCGCCAGGGACGAGGCTGAGTAAGCGCCATGTTGGCAGTAAGTGTCGCACGCGTCATCTGGCGTGATAGCCTCGCGAAAATCGCCGACACGAAAATCATAGGGATAGATACACAGTGAGACATCTGGTACAATCTATCATCTGTGGTACAGCCCTGGAAGTGTCTTACTCTCTTGGATTAAATAATTGTAATCTATTGCAATACTGCATTTTACTTTGTTGCGTTATATTGTATTATGGAATAAACTTTGCAGTGCTATTTTGCATACTGTAATTGTTCTATAGTGTGCAAGGCGGCAGTATGTAGTGTATCGTGTGTAATAAAAATTTTAATATAATTGTAGAGAGCTGTTTTCACTCCTATTAATAATTTGGAATCACTTTGGAGAGAATATACTGCATTTGAGCAGGTATACTATAGGCTTAAATACTTTATTTCAGTACGGGTGACTTAGTGGCAGTGTTCAACAAAGCACTGATATTTTTCACCTAAGTTTAAAAAAAAGTTACTCCTCAATTTCTACATATGTAGAAATAAAAGTATGACATGAACATTTTACTTAAATAGATGTAAAAGCACATGCCTTGATAATTTTACTTAGGAAAAGTGTTGAAAAATGTTTACTCCAGTAAAAGTAGCCTACTACTGAAACAAAAGATAAATTTTCGAACCATTAATTACCAACTTGACAAATGACAATTGATAATATACAAAGAAGAAATAGACATTTAGAGAAGTACTGTACTTTAATATATTGAACTGAACTTTAACCAACAGCCAAGTGATCTTTCCACTCTAGACAGATCTCCAGTCCGCGTCGACAAATACTTATTTAGTTCGCCGATAAAACGAAGTAACTATAAATATTTAACATTTTGCTTTAACTTTCGTGTTTTCTGATATTTTAGAGTGTTAATAAAGTTTTGGCCAAGAAATTGATTGATGATAAAACACGCGATTATATGAACGCACGGAGGGCAGCGAAGGTGATTTTTTTAGATTGAGGCCACTTTTTAAGGCCACTCTGCAGATCATTCCCCTATTTCATTTTTCGATCTCTCTTTGTGGGTTTGTAAGGCATTGATATTATATGTGCTTTAGTCTGCGGAAACACCGCCATATTTGTAATTTGTATTTGATTTGGTATTTGTATTTTGTGAAACTCGTTAATAATTCATGAAGAAAACACAAAAGAAATCTTGACCGTGAAGGAGTTGTAGATAGTACTAATATTTTATCTATATCAACTTGTATATGCATCATATATTATGAGCCATACAGCTATAGTGATTAGTCTGATCTAGACACGAAGAATGAAATCCATTACCATAGGGCCAAAAAAAAAATATGTGGGTTTCCGGTTTCTTCTTGTAAAAACTTAGGTAGGGTAGGTCGGTTTTAACTTTTTTTTTTAACTTTTTTTTAATTTTCCGAACAAGTGGACGCCATTTTGTTTAGTCAGTGCTTCCACATCCAAAGATAAATTTCCCTAATATTTCCTCAAATTTCAATTTTCTGCAAACTTTTTCCTCTAAGTGGAAACACTTACAAGCATGATCCAATAAAAAAGTTTAGGGTCGGGATTTCGACGTCCAAAAGCTAGGTAGGGTCGGGAAACCGGAAACCCACATATTTTTTTTTTGGCCTAGCTGGAAAGAGCATCTTAAAATGAGTAAAATTGCAAAGTTTGGTTGCGAAATGTTGTAAAATGTTTTACTCATTCTAAGATGGTCTTTCTAGCTGTGATGTTGGATTTCGTTCTTCTTTCCTAGATCAAATCTAGTCTATAGCTGGATCACCCATTACACAATGGAGATGCGGTATGAGGTTAAGAAACAGTTACAAGTTATGCGAAAATCCTTTTCTTTAGGAATACGAAGCAATAACAAGAAATGTTGTGCGTGGAAATCCTTCTGTTCCGCCTCAAGGAACGGCAGCTGAACTCAAGCAGGTGTGGTAATCGCTTACAATTAGAATTTTTAAAAAATTTACATCTGAACATTTTCTGTAATTGGTGCTTTTTCATTGTCATTTACCAGCTTCACATTTTACATTGAACTAAATGAGTATTTATCATTTAATCACATTTTACTGTCATTTACCAGCTTCAATTGTGGAATAAATATCTCCAATGGGAAAGAAGCAATCCATTAAAAACTGACGACCACGGTGCGCTCGCTAAAAGAGGTAGAAAATATATAAAAATATAAGAAGGAATGGTTGTAGGATTTCAGTGTAGGCAGTTAGCCACAGTTTGCGATTGCTTCGTTTGCTTGAGGCGTAAAAAAATACCCGTGGTTCCGGTTCCCGACCGACCCTATTTTTTTCTGCCGACCCTATTATTTTTTTCAACGCGATTGACCGTGCGACCCTATTTTCTCCAGGTGGTTGCGGGCTGCTCATACAGTGTGCCAAAATGGTGTCTGTTGTCACACTAATTATTGAACCAAATTGCCTAAATTCGTCCATAGGAAACACGCAACTCTAGTTAATATTGATGTCGGGACTCTACTGCAAATCGCCCAGCAAAAAAAAACAAAAAAAACGCCAAAACCATGAAAAAAATATTCCAAAAAAAAATTTATTTCCGACCTACCGACCCTAATTTTTTCACGATATGAAACCGGAACAACAGGTATTTTTTTACGCCTGACATATTCCTATCTTTTTTCCTATAGTAATGTATGCGTACGAACAGGCATTGTTGCCGCTGGGTTTTTACCCCAATATTTGGTATCAAGCTGCGTTATATTTAGAAGACAGAAGCAAACAGCTCTTTGAACGTGGGGTAAGTATTAGAATGTGTTAATGAATAATAATGTATTAATTTACTTAAAGGGAAATGGCAATATAAATTTTTATTTTCTCATTTGAGAGAACTTTTGAAACTAATTATATTAAGTTGTGGAAACACCACGTAAATTTATTACTGCAAAGCGTTCAATCCGTAAGCACTGATGAAGCTCCGTAATGATGATCCGTAATAAACCCTGATGATGATCCGTAAGCCCTGATCATCTAGATAAAAATATTGCGTGACCCCTGTTGTGACGTCTGCAAAAAGTGCATATCTACAAAAATTGAAGATGGCGGACATTTCATTCCTTTCGATCAAAATATTAGTAGAAGTACTGTAAGCAAGATATGAAAAAGTGGTAAAAGAGTATTATAGATATAGTCTTAAAAGTTCTTTCAAATGAGAAAATAAAATATATATTGCCAGTACTGTAAAAGTTGAACAGGAAGAAAGTTTACTAGTTAATATATAATAGTGCACGATAATATTTGCTATAGGACCAACAAAATGGAAAGATAATGGCGGACGAGGCAAGCGCCATATATGAACGTGCAACTTCTGGTCAAATGAAGTATAATGTCATGTTACACTTTGCTTGGGCTGATTTTCTGGAGGTAGGGTTGACCAACTGTGTGTTCTTTTGGGGTAAAATCATGATTGCTAATTCGAGATTCCCCTTATTACGTTTTCGTAGCGCTTTGCATTGTGGTTATACCGTTATAGTGGTATCACTGATATTCAAGATGGCTTATTTTTTTATCTGACCCTTCGAGGCCGCTATCTTTATCAGTGATACCACTATAACCACAATGCAAAGCGCTACGAAAACGTAATAAGGGGGATCTAGTATTGCCACTGTCGGCAAAAGGCCGCATTATATATAGGACACGAAATATTATACAAACATGACTAAGAATAAGTGAACCTGAATGAATTATTAATTATTTATCACGAGTTATTTATGGATCCAAATAGAGTGGACATTCTGAAATTTTCAGTCAATTTTATTCTTCTTTTTGTAACATTTTCAATGTTCTCTGAAAAATGTATTTTCACAATGTCATTGATTAACTTCCTACAGAGTCGTATGAAAGCGGATAAAGCGAAAGAAGTATACGAAAAATTACTGGCCACCCCAAACATCGATCCTAGTTTGGTACGTCTGATACATATTACTTACAAGGTTTATAATTATACCATCGCTTTTATTCCACTTTTACCTGGCTATTTGCACGTGTTTCAATGCTTTGTGGATAATTCAGAACGTCATACTGTGTATCAATCCACTGTAGATAGTATTCTACAATAAGCTATACCATAGTTTATGTCTGAACTATACAGTGCCTGAAAAATGTATCTCAAACGTGGTGGTCCAGTGTAGGTAGTATTTTACAATAAGCTGTCGTGGTTTGTGTCTGAACTACCTGAAAAACGTTTCTCAAACGTGGTGGTCCAGTGTAGGTATTATTCTACAATAAACTGCCGTGGTTTGTGTCTGAACTACTTGAAAAAGATATCTCATACGTGGTCGTCCAGTGTAGGTAGTATTCTACAATAAGTTCTCCTGTTTGTGTCTGAACGTTCTGAAAAAGATATCTCAAAAGTATTCTTCAATAAGCTGTCATGGTTTGTGTCTGAACTACTTGAAAAATATATCTCAAACGTGGTGGTCCAGTGTAGGTAGTATTCTACAATTAGCTGTCATGGTTTGTGTCTAAACTATAGTACTTGAAAAAAGAGATCTCATACGTGGAGGTCCAGTGTAGGTACTGTAGTATTCTACAACAAGCTGTCGTAGTTTGTGTCTGAAACTACTCAAAAGTAATCTCAAATGTGGGGTTCATGCAGGGTCCGGTATGGATAGTATTATTTTCACTTCACAGAGCATTAATTAGCATTCACAATTTACAGGTCTACATTCAGTACATGAAGTTCTCGCGAAGGGCAGAAGGGATTAAAGAAAGTCGCACAGTTTTCAAACGTTCTCGTGAAGACACGCGGAGTTCACATCATGTAAGTGGATTTCAAAACCTTTCCAAAATTTCCAACGAATTTATTTGGGGATAACCGTTAGCTTGAATAAATTATGGTTCAATGTTGGAACAATAACATTGAGACAAGCTGCCTGTAATAATAGACACATGCACTTATAATCCATGCAATTAGTGGATTTATGTGTCATCCTTCTCTTGACGCACCGATCAATTTTCACTGAGAAACTATAAAACTTGGTCACTTTTCTGCAACGTACAACATTGAGTGTTGGGGGTATATAAGGATATGTTGAGCATCGTATTACAAGTAACGTAAAGCATGCAGTCGAATATAAGATCGTTTCTACCATTCTTGTCCCAATGAACTATTCTGTGATTCTTGTTTCTTTTATATATAGAATCATGTAATTATTCCGCTTTCAAAATTTAATTTAGGTTTTTGTCTCGGCAGCTTTAATGGAGTACTATATAACGAAGGTGTGTAGAAGTCATTTCTTATAAGTAAAACGTCTTGGAAGGGACGACATGAAATGACATATTAAGTCTGGTTTCCATATGGTCCTAATGATCGTAAAAATAGAGTCACGATTTTTCCCAACGGCCAGTTTATAATAGTTTATACTTGTAAACCACCTATAAATCATAAATATTCTCTATAGTTATATTCATTCCGCGTATTTTCAGTTCTAAAATGTCATTGTATTTCGGCTGATGAGAAAGATCGTGACTCGATCTTTACGACCGTTACGACCATATGGAAACCAGGCTTTACATGAACATATTGTTTTAAACATTTGTGGAACATCAATTTTGATAAATTTGTTCTGCCAAGGTTTTGGTATTAAGTAAATAGATGGGAATTGCATGAATTGCCCAATAGAGATACAGTGTTTAGGTTGGCTTGTAGATATAGTGGTAGACATAGAGTTAAATTTTTTGTGGAGATCTTTGGAAAGATATGGTGTTGCTCTTTGGAACGTTTAAAGTTATTTGACTAGGGAATGGAAAGGGAGGGTGGATGACCACGCCCAATATTCAGTTCTTGATATTTTTTTAGGACAAAAACGTGTCAATGAAGATTTTCGAATTGGGATTAAAGGTACGTATTTTTATAACAAGAAATTTAGTTAGTTCCATTGTCCTTTAATATAAATACTGCACACTGTGTAACACATGCGTATACACATATTCCAATATATTTTGATGAACGATTAACTGAGTAGGATTTTAAACATTGTATATTTCTCTGCGTGTTTTGGTGGTATTGCTGTTATTTTGATTTTTTTTGTGTTGTTGATTTTTTTAGTGTTTGATTTTTTTGTGTTGTTTTTGTGTACTCAGGTGAATATGATACTTGTGATGTTACTCTGAGTGTATATCCACACTGGACAAGCTTGAAAAGTATGCCTGGCCACGGTGGGAATCGATGGGCTAGTATTCCAAAGGTCGTCGGTTCGATTCCCACCGTGGCCAGGCATATTTTTCAAGCTTGTCCGGTGTGGATATACACTCAGAGTAACATCACAAGCATCATTCTTGTTATTTGTTTGAGAATATTCACATTCTTTCTACACAGAGATTCTCCTCGGAACCAAAATACATATTGGCGTACTTGGAATTTCTAATCCACCTAAACGGTAAGTATTTGAAAGACGTGTGTTTCGAAACGTGTTTAGAGTTGTGTAACGAAACAAGATTTTTTTATTTTTTTTCTCAGATGACAATAACTCTCGAGTACTATTTGAAAGAGTTCTCAGTAATCTTCCCAAGGAGAAGTCAAGGTATGCATGCATGCAGTTGTGTGGTTTTGCATCGCTTTTCACCTTTTGAAACAGTCGTGCGACTAGGCCTTATAACTACAGCCGGATTTTGAGGGGGAGGTTGTTTTGCACCTCCCCAAAGATTTGTTTGCGCTTCCCCAGAAAATTCATGCACTTCTATTAAGAGAGGTGAAATCATTTTAATTACAGATTATAGTCAAAATTTGTAAATTTCTATGCGAACAATCTCTGTGTCATTTAGGGCTTAGAATGTACCCCCCTATTAAAGTTAACTTACATGACGTATGCATGCACTGTACGTATCTATCAGTGTATTTATATATTATGACTGTACGACTCATCCAATATTGCTCTTCATTACATTACTACAAAGTTTATTTCGAAATATTCCATTAAAAGGGCACTTCATACACGTACAGAGACGATGAATAGTTATCAGTTTTTTCAAGTGTAGACTAAAAATTTTGAATTCACTTTGATGTATCATTTAGCCTTTCCCAAGTGGAGATACATGACGTTTCGGGGGAGGTGCAAAACGATCTCGGGGGAGGTGCCCTGCACCTCCTCACACCACCCTTCAAAATCCGGCCATGCAAAGTTCAGAAGAGTATGTTCTAAACCCTAACATCGCAGGGAGCTAGGCTGTTGCCCAGGCCACTGCACCTCCCCTAAAACATATTCAAGTCTCCCAGCATTTACACCAACATTCGACCCTGCCTTAAAGTAGTGAAATGATATGAAACCTTAGCAACATTTTCCTTTACCAGTGAAATTTATACAAGATTTCTGGACTTCGAAGCGAACTGTGGTGATATTACAAGTTATATGAAGGTTGAAAAGAGAAAGTTGTTCATGTTTAAAGAGGTGAGGAAGACAATCTAATATCTTTGTTAATTCCCTTATATTTTAACATATTTCCAAACCTACAATCAGTGACATTGAAAGTTGGACACTTAAGCCCCATTTACAGTACGCTCAATTTTTGGACGGCACGGATAAAATTGGTACCCGTACCACTTTTTTGGTTCTTGGACTACCTATTTAGCTAGGCCCCGTTTACACTACGCTCACTCAATTTTTGGTACCGTACCACTTTTTGGTTCTTGGACTACCTAAATAGGTAGTCCAAGAACCAAAAAAGTGGTACGGGTACCAATTTTATCCGTGCCGTACCAAAAATTGAGCGTAGTGTAAACGGGGCTTTAGATTGAAAGGTTATTTTTGTAAACAATTTGCAAAAATAACATGTAAAACCCCTTTCTCCCATTTCAATGTTGCTGTATGTTCTGGGAGAGTTGTCAGCAACGCAATATAGCACAAACTACTCAAATAAAATGCCAATTTTAGTCTAACAACATTGAACAAGGGTGGGGGGTTATGTTACCATCTCAGCCTAACCTGTCCGCCTATTTTGTCACTGATTCTGTAGGTCCAATAAGAACCATCCTTTACTGATCATCCAGTGTTACTATACAGGAGGAAACGTAAACTAAACTAACTTTATTTATACTGGATAGCTTTATCAGTTCTAAACTGTTCTTCCCAGAGGTCCAGTAAGAGTTATTGATCCAGTGTTACTACAGGAAGAAACCTAAACTAAACAAACTTGATTTATACTGGATAGCTCTATCAGTTCTAAACTGTTCTTCCTAGAGGTCCAATAAGAGTCATCCCTTGTTGATCCCGTGTTACTACAGGAGGAAACCTAAATTAATTGTGAACCTTTAGTACTTGAAATTCTTATGCAGATTGATATACGCCTTAGTGTCATTTTTTCACCTATATGCATGGTATATTTTTCTTAAAATAGGAGCTTGAATCCCGAGAAACCGTGCTGCTGGTTGATCGATATAAGTATTTAGATCTCTACCCGTGCTCAAAAACTGAATTGGCAGTTCTAGGCTATGAGGTACGTTCTATAATATATTTACTACAATTTCAAGATTGACAATCATAAATCGTTTTATCAATCCATTAAGCAATGCGCACTGGTGCTTCCTACATTGCTATAGTTTGTCTGCAGGGTGTTTTTCCAGATTTTTTGCTTGCTTCAAAGATTGAGTTCACCACAACAATAGGAAGTCGGAGGGTATCTGCCCCGCCCCAGATTCACGATTGCAGTCTTATTTTACATGCCTTTGATTTAAATGGACCGGACTGCGTGCAATAAGTCAAAGATTGTGCATAAAGTGTGTGTTCACGTTCTTGTTGTGAAACGAATTCTATGCAGTTTGTCTTAGATTTTTTTCTTACTTTGTGTATTTTTCTTCTCTTTTACATTGCTTATTTTAACAGGGTTCGTACCAAACTTGAAAATCCTTGAAAGTACTTGAATTTGGAAACAAAAATCCAAGGGCTTGAAAGTCCTTGAGTTTATAAAGAAGTGCTTGAAAGTCCTTAAATTGTTCTTGTTTTAGTGGATATATTCTGAAATTGTTTTGCAATTTTTCAAAATTGATTTTGTTCGTGTCTTACACAGGCCAAAACTGTTTGAAATTCATTAAAGTTGCCGTTTGAATAATTTGACGTCACTTTTTACTAATTTCTAACGCCTTCTTTTCAGCTTTTAGTTCTTGAATTCCCTGTTATATTCTTGAATTCCCTGCCTTGAAAAGTCCTTGAATTCAACTCTTCCAGTCCTTTACGAACCCTGTTTTAACACAAACCTGAAAAATCGAAACTTGCTAGTAGTGCCGCCATTTTGTTTATTTATGTACGTAGCCGATCGGGGCGGGCAACAATTTTTCACTGGTTTCCTGGAGGGTTACATTGCATTTATCTAAAGCCACAGATCAGCCAATCACGTTTGTTATTCACCAATTTAGGCCAATGAAAATTGATATCATGTTTCTCGTCCATAATTTTTAAAAATTTGGAGCGGGATTTTTTCATTTTTCATTATTTTTTTGTATTTGAATTCTGCTTGTCAATAATTCCTTGACCCAGTAAAAACCCCCATAAAAATCTGAAGTAAATCGGTGTATAATTCATTTTAATTTAATACGTCCTACACTACAGTATATTTCTATACATACCAGGGCTGACATAAAAATAGAGGCATTCTGGCGAGTAATATCTTTAGAAAGATACAATTTGAGTTGCGCTTGCGGAATGCAGCAATAAGACTTTGATCTGGAGATCAATTTGGTGTTTTGTCAAGCCGTGCGGCAGATGAATCCCATGCGGGCGGGGACGAGAAACATGATATCAATTTTCATTGGCCTTATATTACAGACGCAAGAAACCGTCTCATCAAATCAACCAACGATGTCTTCTCAAAATAAAGTTCAAATGCTGGATGACACGATGATGTTTGGCACGAAATACCCAATGCCAGACCTCAAACAGATGATACCATTTAAACCTGCGCCTCGGGGAACTGGTGAGTTAAAACTAAACTAATTTTATTTATACTGGATAGCTCTATCTGTTCTAAATTGTTCTCCCTCGAGGTCCAGTAAGGATAATCTCTTATTGATCCAGTGTTACTACAGGAGGAAACCTAAACTAAACTAACTTTACTTATACTGGATAGCTCTATCTGTTCTAAACTGTTCTCTCCAGAGGTCCAGTAAGGGTCATCTCTTATTGATCTAGTGTTACTACAGGAGGAAATCTTAACTAAATTACTTTATTTATACTGGATAGCTCTATCAGTTCTAAACTTTTCTCCTGAGGCTGAGAGGTCCAGTAAGGATCATCTCTTATTGATCCAGTATTACTGCAGGAGGAAACCTTAACTAAACTAACTTTATTTATACTGGATAACTCTATCTGTTTTAACTATTTTCTCAATATTTCCAATAAAGATGCCCTTTTATTGTTCCAGGAGAAACCACAAGTGAATATATAACTCTATACCGGTTGTAGACAGTTCTCAAATATCATCTCCTATTGGTCTATATCACAGTGCTACTATCTTCCTTAATCGTTAACTATATTTCCAATTATTCATCCCCCCTGACAAAGTGTTTCTCATATCTTTTCTAGCCGGAGTCCATCATATTCCGGGGGGCGTGTTTCCTATTCCTCCAGCTGCTGCTCATCTTATTTCTTTGATGCCGCCACCAATTTGTTTTCAGGTATTTGTTTACAAACCATTGTTTGTTTTTGTTTATTTTATGGAATAAGCCACGTACAGTATGTCGCAAGGCTTTCTAAGAAAGCTGCAAATTGACACAGCTACTTGGAAAAACACGGAGAATACAAACAGGACATGTAAAAAGAATTTTCTTCCTGGGAGCACAACCTGGAGACAAAAATTTCTTGCAGACCAACGGAGTATTTTTGTGCTAAATCTGCATGTGCATAAACATATAGTGTTCTAGGTGACCATGGTTTTAAATTCAAGGAATAATGTCTGTCAACCCTATGTTGTTGCGCCCATAGTGGGACATGGGTGTTAAGGTTTCCTTCAAATTTTCAATAACAAATCTTCATTCAAACCAATTTCCTGCGGCTGTTTAATATTTACTGCGAGCAGTGCTGGCGTACTCGCCTATTTTTCCACCCCTGAATACAAGTGAAAATTCAGTGGGTGCCAAAAGTATGAGTCCAGTCCCAAATTTTGCCAAAAAATCGAGAAAAGTGTATCTACTAGAAAAATATTCTGTCATTTGCTACTTGAACATGCGCATTGAGATGTGCATTTTGTCTCCCACATTTAGTTCTTCATAAATTTTTCCATTTTACAACTTTAAAATAAAATACGTTTGTTTTGATTCTCTCCACGAATGTGCGTCAAGGATGGCTAAAGATTTAAATGAAGGAGTTAGAGCTAGACAAATTATTGCTCTAAGAAATGAAGGTACTGTATGTTACTCACAGCGACAAATTGCTGCAAAGATAAGAGTGTCAAAAGATAAACTCAACCTGAGAAAAAACAATCAGCAAAAGAATAGTAAGAAGGAGATAGGCCGCAAGTGCATGGTCTGAAAGGACCGCCAGTTTCTACTGAAGTTCTTGAATTTCTTTGCCCATAACAATTTTTTGCACTTATTTTTAGGATGCATCAACGGTTTAGAAACAGCAACTCTTCCTTTCCAAATTCTTACTGTTGTTTTGCTGATTGTTTTTTTCTCGGGTTGCGTTAATTCAGGATTGGATATTACCAGCAGTTGCAGTTCTATTACGCAAAGAAGTTATTTTTATGAATTGATCCTCTTGTGGTGCAGTAGACCTCGGTATCCCAGACCTTGGTAGGGTGGAATAGGATTTAGTTTTTCTGAACCCTTCAGGGTTCGCGGCAGTGCACCTTTCGACACTCTTATCATCTTTGCAGCAATTTGTCGCTGTGAGTGACCTTCATTTCTTAGAGCAATAATTTGTCCTCTAATTCCTTTGCTTAAATCTTTAGCCATCCTTGACGTATATTCGTGTAAAGAATTAAATAAACATATTATGGCAATATTTATGAAGGACAAAAAATACCTGATGACAGTTTATTTTTCTAGAAGATTCACTTTTCTCGGTTTTTTTTGGCAAAATTTGGGACTCGACTCATACTTTTGGCACCCACTGTATATTATATGACGTGTTCAAGATTCTTAGAAAAATAGCCGGAAAGTTTTAAAATAAAAAATGGGATAGTGATAACAACAGAGCCTATAGGTGTGTCCCTGACCTCTCTGCATATGTTTACACAGGTGAAGGTCCTGAGAGTGTAAAATGGGAATTGATTTGCTTATTTTTGGATAGGTAAATGGGATTTGGGTTAAGCCCGGTTTCGATATGGTCGTAGCGGTCGTAAAGATTGAGTCACGATCTTTCTCATCAGCCGAAATACAACATTTTAGAACTGAAAATACGCGGTGTGATTATAACTAGAGAATGCGTATGATTTATATGTGGTTCACAGGTATATTAGCTGTTATAAACTGGCCTTTGAGAAAATCGTGACTCTATTTTTACCACCATTATACGACCATTATAAAAAGAGTAAGTTGTATACTTGGACATTTCAAAGTTCTGACAACTTCTGATTAAGAGTTTGTCCAAAAATGTCCTGGAAAAAACATCATTCTCACCTTGAGCGGACGGTTTACTATGACATCCCAAACATATTATGTCAACATTTATGAAGGACAAAAAGTACCTGATGACAGTTTATTTTTCTAGAAGATTCACTTTTCTCGTTTTTTGGCAAAATTTGGGACTCGACGCATACTTTTGGCACCCACTGTATATTATCTGACGTGTTCAAGATTCTTAGAAAAATAGCCGGAAAGTTTTAAAATAGAAAAATGGGATAGTGTTTACCCAGGAAGGGCGATTTCGAACCGCATGAGCTACCAGTGAAGGTCCTGAGAGTATAAATGGGAAATGATTTGCTTATTTTTGGATACGTAAATGGGATTTGGGTTAAGGCTGGTTTCCATATGGTCGTAACGGTCGTAAAGATTGAGTCACGATCTTTCTCATCAGCCGAAATACAACATTTTAGAACTGAAAATACGCGGTGTGATTATAACTAGAGAATACGTATGATTTATATGTGGTTCACAGGTATATTAGCTGTTATAAACTGACCTTTGAGAAAGATCGTGACTCTATTTTTACGACCATGCATTACGACCATTATAAAGAGAGTAAGTTGTATACTTGGACATTTCAAAGTTCTGACAACTTCTGATTAAGAGTTTGTCTAAAAATGTCCTGGAAAAAACTGCATTCTCACCTTGAGTGGACTGTTTACTCTGACATCCCATGCTCGTTAGGCTAGCTCGAGGTTATTTTTCTGCTGTTGGCAATTGGAAAATCAGGTACTTAAAAACTTGAAAATTGGATTTGGGTAGTCATGCAATACCTCGTGCATATTTTACCATTCCCCACCCAAATACAGTAAGCCTGGGTGTTCAACAGTTTCAATAAAACGAAAGTAGCAAGTTGTCATCATTAATTCTGGAAAATACTACAGATGACACTTTTATGATTTAAAAGATGAACAGCAGTGTTTTACCAGATATAAAATGATAAAACAGCACTGTGATAAAACACGCACTGCGAATGTTCTAAATTGCTTCAAAAACGGTCGATCTAGTAAGTTCAATGGCGAAGTAATTTTCAAAAAATACGTTGTGTAAGTCGAGAAAATCAAAGTTAAAATTTATGTAAATCAAGGGAAATCTCTATCACATATAAAGATGCGACACGCTTATGATTTTTCTTTGTGTTTTCCTCACGAATTATTAATGAGTTTTGACAGAATTATATCGCATTATATAAAGAAATTCGCTAGACAATCCACTGGAATTTTTAACATTTTATGTATTTATATTTTATTTATTTATTATTTAAGACTATTTGGATAAAACCATCTTTCGTTTAAGAGAATAAAATCGTTCTCTTCATATGCCGACTTTAACGAGGTTCAATTTACCGTTGCAGGGCCCGTTTGTAATGGTGGATGAACTTTTAAAAATGATAGCTGAATGTCATCTCCAGAAACCACAAACTACAAGTAAGATGACTGGTCATTAAAATTTTCAGTAAAAATTTCATTTATTTAGTTTGAAAGAACTATAAAAATCATTAATAAGGACTATTTACAGGTAATACAGCTACTTTTCATATCTTGCTTGTCCTTGAAATATTTGTATAGGTAATAGTGTGGTTTCGAATGCAATTTGGAAAAAAAATATGCACGAGTGAGTTTTTCAAAGACGACCTAAATTACACGAGTCCGAAGGACGAGTGCAATTTGAAGTCTTTGAAAAACTCACGAGTGTATGTTTTGCCAAATTGCACGAGAATTAACCATTTACTACCATTACTTATTAATATACATGAAAAAATTATGCAATCACATAAATAATTTTTAATAGAAAATCTATACTAAAACTACAGTAGATTATATGCTATGATTATATGCTACTACAGTAGATTATATGCTATGATTATATGCTACTACAGTAGATTATATGCTATGATTATATGCTACTACAGTAAATTATATGCTATGATTATATGCTACTACAGTAGATTATATGCTATCGACGTGTTAACTGTTCATTGCTCAATTTTTTTGTGCTATTTCCAATTTAATATGGAGACATTTTATTAATCATATTTTGATCACTTAGATGTCGCCATTTTGTTTACCAATTTTTGCTGTCAACCGTAAACCGAGAACCGGGGTATCTTAACCACTCCTCATGTTCATTTCAGGTTTACCAGAAGGTAGCATTAACGGTGGTGTGAAAGAGGAAAGCTCGACAAAAGACGATGCTAGAGGAAAGAAACGTCCATTAAACGCAGGCAATCGCGATAACGATAGTGATGATGATGAAAAACGCGTTGCTCCACCTGCGAACGATATTTATCGGCTAAGACAACAAAAAAGAGTTGCTTTCTAGATTAAGTTCGAAAAACGTAGTACATCACCTTGTGTTAGTTCTTAGGCGTACAAAAATGCCCTGTCGTTCCAGTTTCTCGACCCAAACTCGTTAGGAAACTACTCATCAACAAGATCGTTCGTATTTTTCTCCATTATCGCCATTTTGAGCAAATCACGTGAAGAATCTATGAGTTCTCATTGGCTAGTTAATTCGAGTATCTCAGCAATATGCTTGCAACATCCGCAGACGTTGAGATGTTTTCCTCGCGAGGTGAAAAATATCAAACACGATAGATATTTCCTTCAAGGCTTCGAGAGGTTAAATCCTCACGAAAACTATCCGTACACGAGAGGAACCTGCTGAGCTAGCTGCCACGCAAGGCGGTTAGCTCAGCAAGATTCTCTCGTGTATGGCAAGCTTAAGATAATGTTTTATATTTCTTTATTTTGCAAGGAATTATTCTTTGTATATTGTCAGTATATATGACGCACACACACTGTACCGCTTCTCTTTAAATTGTTATATAATTTAATTTTAATTTAATCAAGTTTTACTACATACAAAAAATAATCTAAAAAATAAATTCTAAAGAATGAAAAGGAACTAAAGAACCATACTAAAAAAAAACCCAATTGATCAAAAGGATCAAAAAGGAATTAAAGTGCATATGACATGAAATTTCTTATTTTCTTAAATGAAAGAACTCTTTAAGCTGTAGTGTAACTTATTTTTCAGTTTCTTGTTTTAATGTTTTGTTCCCGAGACATTTCAATTTGTTTGACATGTAAATGAGTGTTAATATGTCCGCTAATTTATGACGTCATGTCGGTTGCAAGCTTTTCAAAATGGTTGAATATCACTGCTATCATACAAGATGATAATTTCAAACTTCACTCACTGGTAAATGTGATGAATCACTGTAGAAAAACGTGAACTGATATCAACAGTTTTTAGAGTTAATAGATTTATAACCAGTGTAAGTTGAGCTTGCAACCAACATGACGTCATAAATTAGCGGACATATTCACACTCATTTACATATCAAACAAATTGAAATATCTCGGGAACAAACCATGAAAACAAGAAACTGAAAAATAAGTTACACTACAGCTTAAAGAGTTCTTTCGTTTAAGAAAATAAGAAATTTCATGTCATATACACTTAAAATAAACCAAATTCTATGCATGCCGAGAGACACGAGAACGATCAGGATATAAAATACGGTTTTACTTTTATATAGTCCTCCTTACAATAATACTTAAATTTTGCTACGCTACCGTGTAAAGTTCGGCTGTTTTCAGTTAGATTAAGTCATTATCATTGTATGTTATACGTAACACGGCTCAAAACTAATGATATACTCGGTTACATGACTATATATTCAATTTTTTTACGTTTTGAGACGTTTCTCATGGGGCAAACAAACTGAAAAAAGTATATTTAGTGCTTTTTTTATAAAATTATGCTGAAATACGGAGTTTTTGATGGTACGCGGCAAAGAGAAAATGATGTTTGAAGTTCAGTATAAGTTTTGCATATATTGCTGCATGTATACAGTATAAATACGGGGTAGGCCTACTATTTTTTGCTTCTCAACCGACAGATATACATTTGAAAACGTTGCTATTAATCTGTGTAAACTACAAAATAAAGCTAAAACACTGGTAATTTTGAGAGAAACGCCAAAAAGAGTTTAGGTTTTGAACACTTTTCATCGCAAATATGCGCGACATTGAAAAAAATTGCCTTTTAAATGGTCATGTTTTTTTAAAATGTTATGCCAATTGTTATGCGTATTACTACATCATTACACATGTGCTTGCAAACGTGAAAATAATTGGTAGTTTTTATACTTAATTTTGAAAAGCAACAGAGACTTTTAACTTCTGGAACTATTAAGACAAAGCAAAAAAAAAGTTAAGAACTACAGGGTGTCCCAAAAAAACCAAACTATTGAAATAACCAGTTAGCAGTAAGCTGAACGCAAAGATGTGTAAAATATTGACAGGGTGCATATATTAAAAATATTGACTTATTAAGAAATTAAAATATCTTTGTAAAGCGCACGATATTCTGCTCTTGGGAATTTAAAGCAGCTTCTTAAGCAGTTTCTTTATTCATAAAATTTACTTATGCATGTCAAGCTTTTATGCACTTGTAGATTTAGCAGAGTGCTAAGGCATTCAAATTCTAACAATACGTTATTTCAGTAGTTTGGGTTTTTTGGGACACCCTAATTAGGCTATACTGTACAGTATATCTTTGACTTTAGAAATTCTTTAGTTCATGCAAATTTTTGTCCTAAGTGCATTGCTTTGACACCATTGGCATTGTGACTCGGTCTTCTACAGGGTGTATCAAAAAAAAGGAGACTTTAGAAATCAACCATATTGTTAAAATTTGAATGCCTTTTCAATTGCACGTATGCAATTGATGGGGTGCATATATTAGAAAAAGGAGACCTTTAGAAATTGAAATAACGTTTAAACAAAAGACTGTCTGCTCCTGGGAACAATCTGCCATGCATACTGTACGTAGATCGCATGTTACGCACTCGTGGGCTTAGCAAAGTGCTCGAGGATTCAAATTATAACAATGATTGATTTCTAAAGGCCTCCTTTTTCTAATATATACAGGGTGTCTCAAAAAAACCCAAAATCATTGAAATAACGTATTGTTCGAATTTCAATGCCGTAACACAAAGGATTTTGACAGGGTGATTAATTTGTTTTAAAAAATTAAAATATCTTTGTAAAGTGAACGTTTGTTTGCTCATGGGAATTTAAAAATGCTTCGTAAATTGTAATATGCGTAATATGCATTCGTGGGTTTAGTACTTTATGCCCGACATAACAAGTTTACGCTGAGTATTACCATTCATTATAGCAGTTATGTCAATCTTTTATGCACTCGTGGGATTAACTTAGTGCTAGGGCATTGAATATCGAACAATACGTCAATTTCAATGATTTGGGGTTTTTTTGAGACACCCTGTATGCAATTATATGCGCACTACGGTTTAGCATATGTGCAATTGAAAAGGCATTCAAATTTTAACAATATGCTTGATTTCTAAAGGTCTCCTTTTTTTTTATAACACCCTGTAGTCGAAGCATGAAATATTGTGTTCTTCGCTTGCAGAACTCCGAAATTACAGTGTCAATGACTTCGATCGTTTACCCGTGTGCATGAGACCTTAAAATAAAGAATGGCGTTGCTGAAACAAGCCATACAAGGGAATAATTGGAATGACTTTATCCAGGAAGAAGCTTTCGTGTAAAGGTATGTCGGATAAGTGTAATGACATAATAAAAATTGGCGGAGTTGCCAAGGCAATGCACACGAACGGGTCATGCCGGATTTAGCCTCGAGATTTTCAGATTTTACAAATACCACACACAGTCACATCAAATACTTAGTTGCACGGATATCGAGATAAATCGCTAATACCATGTATTATACGAAGTTCAACAACTTGTGAGAAAAGCAAAGTACATAAGTAAACACTCAACTTAATAACATTATCGTGCTAATCGTTAGGCTGATAAACCAGGGTGATAAATGACCCATTATCACTCAGGGTAATAAATCTCCAATGTTTTGCCTGCCGCACACGAGACTTCCTTGTGAGCTATCCGCCTCGCGTGACTATAAGCATTTTCACCGCACACGTTGAGAAAACTACTCAACATGCAGCAACATCGTTAATAAGATCGTTTCATTCCCCTTCATTGCCGCCATTTTGACAAAAGTCACGTGAAGGAACGATGGGTTTTTATTCGCTAGTTAATTCGAGCAGCTCGATCGGCACTAAACTAGCAACATACGCACACGCGTTGGAGATTTTTTCCTCACGAGATAGGATAGGATAGGATAAAACTTTATTTGACTACGCTGGCCACTTCAACCATAGCTGCTTTCCAAGTGGGGCGTAGATAAATGTTACAAAAATATATAAAATACAAAATCACTAAGAAAATTAAGAACTACGAATACAAATACATATTACAAAACAAATGGTATACAAAACTCAAATAGCTAATTCGTCAGACTAACAGAGGAAATATTTCTATTGAAAGAATTTAAAGATTCGCTGTTTCTTACTTGTTCAGGAATGCTATTCCAGATTTTAACCCCACTATATCGAAAACATTTTCTGCCATACTCAGTATTTGGTCGTGGCAGAAAGAGAGACGAATTTGAACCCCGTAAATTATAACTGTGGATATGGTTAGAATTCTGGAACATTGATGAGAACCTCGATGGTGCCAAATTATTGACAACCTTAAACATGAGACGGGCCATATTATGTTTTCGCCTTTCTTCCAAGCTTATCCACCCCAATTGATCGAGGGCCAGTTGAGATTGCCCAGGCTCATCTTTAAAGTTCATTATAATTCTAGCACATCTGTTGTGAAGTTTTTGTAGTCGTTCAGACTGGCCTCTACTAATGGAATTCCAAACTTCACAACAGTAGTCGAAATGGGGTTGGACAAGACCATAATAGACCGACTTCAAAGTATCAGAATTAGTGAAATCCTTTATCTTTTTCATGGCACTTATTCCAGAAGATATTTTTTTAGAAATTTGTTCAATATGACTGTCCCAAGTTAAAAATTGATCAATTTTGACTCCAAGAGTTTTTGTAACTTGAACCCCTTTAATTGGTTCATCTCCAATAAAAACACGCGGTTGTTCTTCTAACGTGTTAATATTGTGGCGTGATCCAATCAAAAGATATTCCGTTTTGACAAGGTTAAGAGAGAGCCTGTTCGATAGAAGCCATTCTTTGATATTATTGAGATCGACATTAACGGCCACCTCCGCTTCCTTAATTGATTTACCGGACACTGTAATGTTAGTATCGTCGGCGAACATGCGTGCTGTAGAGTGTTGTAAACAATTCGGCAAATCATTGATATAAATTAAAAACAGAAGTGGACCCAAAATTGAACCCTGAGGAACGCCATATTTTAGATATTTTAGTGTGGAAAGTTCCCCATTTACTTGACATTTCTGAGATCGATCTGATAAGTACGATTTGAGAAGCATAAGAGGCGTGTTCTTAATACCATATAACTCTAGTTTAGCCACTAAAATGTCGTGGTTTACCGTGTCAAATGCTTTTTTTAAATCGAGAAAAACGGCAAGATTATACAAACCACGATCCATATTAACATACCACTCATCAGTACAATCAAGCAAAGCAGTGGACGTGGAATGAAAGCGCCTGAACCCAAACTGCTGTTCAGACAATAAAATAACACGATAGGTATTTTCCTCAAGGCCTCGAGAGGAT